TAGTATATAAAATCCTTTCTGTCTTGCTGGTATGTCAACTGATAATGTCGGCATCTGAGTGTCCGAAAAATGAACATTTGGCTGTGAATAAGTAAAGCTTCCAGGGGCAAATGTGTCAGTCAAGAACATTAACAGCCCAAAATCAGCGACCCTGACTTTCTACACATTGACAAAGCTTTACAATATAGACCTTTTCCTCTGAGCCATTTGCCTGCAAAACTGAACTATTTACCTTAAACACCATATTTAGTTTAGATAATAACATGATTTTGAATGCAATTTGGTGTTAATAAGCATGAATAAAGACAGAAAAATTGCACAAGCCTGTAGGGCGAGTGCAATTTGTGGTCTTTGAAATAATTATGAGTGTTTGTTTACACTAAATTGCATTTGAAATTATGTTATTGAGTAAATTTTTTTAAAGACAACAAAATGGGTGAGTGCAATTTGTAGTCTGTAAGATTTACAAGTGCTCATTTATACCAAATTGCGCTTGAAATCAACTCATTACCTATTAATAGTTTACATGAAAAAAGGATCACAGAAAGTCAAGACTGCATAAATGTTAAAAATGTCAACCAAAATGTTTGACAGATGTGGTCCCAAATTGACAGACCCTGTTGAGGTCCATGGTAGGGATCCACATCCATCAGCTATTCTACCTTATCATCCACCATAGGCTTGTGTAATTGCACAGAAATTTTGTCCAACACTGCACAAGCACCCACAATCATGCAAACCTTTTCAGGTGCCATTATACCTTTTGCATGCAACACACAAATTCGCCTTTTCTATTGGCCAAATGTGTGCTCAATCACCACTCAAACCAATCAATCAACACTCTGCCTTTTTTTTAACAATTAGAATACTTTAACAGTATATTTAAGGAGTGTCTCAAGAGACATGCCCCTCTTTAAAGAATGCAAAATACAGTCACTACAACAGCCGCAGAATAAATTCAGGAAGGAAGCCCTCCAGACTGACAAACAAGTTGAAGGCAGGTATTCGTCGGGCTCACGAGACCTTCACAAGGCAGGCGTTATCCTCTTATAACCCAAAGGAGGAGTGGCGTATCATCCACCACATACTGAAACCTAACCAGCAAACCTTACAGCAGGATCCTGATACGTTAAACTCATTCTTTGCTTGCACTGCCGAGAGAACTTTACCTGTTAGTAGTTGTAATGTTCATGTAAACCGGAAGTTATCGATACCGGATGTTCGCTAGGAACTATGGGATAGAAGTAGCAGAACGACCATGGCGTCCACCGATGCTGTAACACGTCTTCTTACAACTGTTTATTAAATCGTTGTTAATCGTTTGCATCTTGTTTTGAAATCCATTCAAAACATCACAAATGGCGACTAGGATGGGATGCAAGTAATCGAAGACGGAAATCTTTGCGTTTAAAGTGTTAAATCAACCGGAAAATCCTACCGATCAACCTTGTTTTCAATGCCTGCAGATTCTTCATCAACCACTTCGCCTTCGCAGCCTTCAACAACTTCTGCAATGGCAATTAACCTACCGACCTTTCCTGAGTTTGATCTTCAACCAAGAGATACAGTACCCGTTCGCTTTGAGAAGTATGTCAAGCGTTTGGACAACATGTTTACAGCAATGAACATTACCCGAGCATCTCAAAAGAAAGCCATGTTATTGCATTACGTAGGAGAAGAAACCTGTGATGTGTTTGAGACCCTTACCGTTCCAGAACCGCCGGAAGGAAGTGACGAATACAAGACTGCCATAAAGGCTCTTGCTGATCATTTTGAGTCTCAAAAGTGTGTGGATTATCACGTCTATGCCTTTCGTCAGGAAATGCAAAAGTCTGGTGAAAACATTACCAAGTTTTACACACGTCTCCAGCTGTTAGCACGCAAATGTCAGTTCGCCGATCCCGAACTGGAAATTAAGCGGCAGATTATTCAAGGAACCTCATCGCTTCGCCTGAGACGTAAAGCAATCAAACAGAGCCTCAATCTTGAAAACTTACTGAAAGTAGCTCGCGCCATGGAAACCGCCGACGAGCAGACCACTGAGATGGAGAAACAGCGATCCAACGCAGTGGGCTATGGTAGAAATAAAGCAACCGACGTTCAGCAGAAAGAGAATTCTCGTGGTCTACCAAAGCCTGGATTGCGTAACAATAATCGAAATAATCAATCGCTCTGACGAAGGGCTAACACTCGAAACGTCAGCTTTTTTACCCTTTACGGTGGCTAATTTACGTTTTCAACCCAGTTGTTAACACTAAATTACCTGCTATACTCTCCCACCGACGCAGCACCACAGTTTCTTTAGAAACTTACCCCTTTATTCATTTGCGTAACAATAGGTGTGGTTTATGTGGTGGAAATTACCCACATCAAGGAACTTGCCCTGCTCAAGGTAAAAAGTGTTTGAACTGTGGCAAAATGAACCATTTCTCCAAAGTTTGTCGTGGCAAACCCAATAATCGGTCCAAATCTTCGCACCCAAAGAAACCGTCAAAAAGTAAACACCATGCCAGGTCTGCAGATGTTGAAGAGTCTCCGAGTAGTGAAATGTCATCTCTAGCCGGTGTTGATAGTGACAACAGCGAAGAGTATACCTTTAACATTGGCGCACAGGGACACCAAGCTGGCAAGCCTATCTTTCAGGTCACGATCATGAACACACCTATCCGCATAATGGCAGATTCAGGAGCAACCGTGAATATCTTAAGCAAGAAAGACTTTGATGGCTTTAAATCAAAGCCACAACTGGCTGAAACAAGTGCCAAAGTGTATCCATACATGTCTGATGAGCCACTAACCCTGTGTGGAAAGTTCCGAGCTACTGTCACCAGTGGTAGCTGTTCATCCGTGGAAACATTCTATGTCGCAAAGGGTTCATCAAGCTCCATACTTAGCTGGACAACCTCACAAACATTAAATCTTATTAAAGCTGTCAGTACGGTCGAACCTCCTGGTAACCTGCCACCTGATGCCCCAGATTTTCTCAAGGAATTTCCTAATCTAACCAGTGGAATGGGCAAGTACAAAGGTGAACCAGCACGCATACATGTAGATGAATCTGTCAAACCCATGGCACAGCCACATCGCCGAGTCCCTTTCCATGTAAGGAAACAGATGGAGGAAAAACTCAAACAGCTTGAAAATGATGTCATCATTGAACGCGTAGAAGGCCCCACTCCTTGGGTATCGCCAATTGTTGTTGTGCCCAAGCCGAATAAACCGAATGAGATTAGAATTTGTGTAGACATGCGTTCATTAAACAAAGCTATCATCAGGGAGCGACACATCATACCCACCATCGATGACGTAGTGTCGGACTTGAACGGTTGTAAAGTGTTTAGTAAGATTGACTTAAATCAAGGGTACCACCAGATCCCATTGCACCCCGACTCGAGAGCACTGAGAACGTTTTCTACACACGTTAGACTGTTCCAATACAAACGTCTCAATTTTGGCCTCTCGTGCGCAGCAGAAATCTTCCAAAAGAAGGTGGGTGATGCAATCCTTGGCATACCCTGCGTCAAGAACATCAGTGATGACATCTATGTTGGGGGCGCAGACAAGGACACTCATGACCAACATCTGAGACAAGTGTTCTGTCAACTCCAGGAGAGTGGTCTAACAATAAACTTACCCAAGTGTCAGTTTCGAGTTCCTACTATGCTCTTCTTTGGCCATGTGTTCTCTGAAAAGGGCATGTCACCTAATCCAAAAAAAGTTGAAGCTCTTCAAAATGTTGTGCCACCGACCAATGTATGTGAAGTACGAAGCCTCCTTAGCTTGGCTGCGTTCTGCTCTAGGTTCATCAAGAACTTTGCACTAATCTCCAGACCTCTTCGACAGCTGACCTGTAATGGAGTGAAGTGGCAGTGGACTGAGGAGGAACAGTCATCATTTGAACGCCTAAAAGCGGCACTATCTACCAAGACTACCCTTGGATACTTTGATCCAAAAAACCTACTTCCATCTTTGTCGATGGTAGTCCCATTGGTATAGGTGCTGTCCTGGCCCAGAAAGATGTTTCGACTAATGAAGTGACACCTTTGCATTATGCCAGTTCTCCACTGACACCAACTCAAGCTAGATATCCACAGATTGATCGTGAAGCTTTGTCAGTTTACTGGGCTGTAAAGCGCTTTCACTTGTTCTTCTATGGAGGGGAATTTAAAGTAATCACAGACCATCAACCTCTGGTTTCCTTGTTTAACAACCCCACCTCTAAACCGTCCGCCAGGATAGAACGTTGGCTCATGGAGCTACAGCAGTACTGATTCACAGTAGAATATCGCCCTGGTGCTTCAAACCCAGCAGATTATGCTTCGAGACACCCAGTAGGAGACTTGGAATCTCACAATTATGAAATCGAGTCTGAAGACCACATCTATTTTATTACAAGAAATGCAGTACCAAAAGCTGTAACATTGTCTGAGGTAGAATCTGCAACCGCAACAGATCCAGTGCTACAAGCGGTTATGTCTGCAATGAAATCTGGTTGCTGGCATAAGGCGCCACCTGGTGTATCACTATCTGAGCTATCCCGCTACGAGCAAGTCAAGGAGCAATTAACCTGCACTGACACTGTCTTGTTAAAATCTGATCGCTTAGTAGTTCCTGCTTCGCTGCAAGAACGAATTGTTGACCTCGCCCATGAAGGTCACTTGGGCATAGTTAAAACTAAGGCCCTCCTGCGAGAGAAGGTGTGGTTCCCATGCATGGACAAGATGGTTGAAACAAAGGTCAAGGCCTGTTTACCGTGCCAAGTTGTAACCCCGGTGTATGCTAGAGAGCCTGTTCAAGTATCAGCTCTTCCTGACAGCCCTTATGATGAAGTAAGCATCGACTTTGCGCATGTTGAGGGTGAAACCCTACTTCTACTGGTTGATGATTATTCAAGGTTCCCGTTCGTAGAACCAGTGTCCTCAACGTCCGCTAGTGCTGTCATACCTAAGTTAGATCAGCTATTTGCTACATTCGGAACTCCCAAGATTGTTAGATCAGATAATGGTCCACCTTTCAACGGAGAAGAGTTTGCCAAGTTTGCTCATGCGCTTGGTTTCAAGCATCGCAAGGTAACCCCATTATGGCCTAGGGCCAACGGTGAGGTAGAGAGATTTGTGAAAACACTGAAGCCGCTAAAGTGGAAGGAAGAAACTGGAGAAAGGAATTGCAAGCGATTCTGAGAAACTATCGCACCTCTCCTCATCAAACCACTGGTGTGGCCCCAGCAGTATTGTTGCTGAAACGTCCTGTGCGTAACAAGCTACCACAGACCAACTACGTTGACCCTGTGTCGGAGATCGTCCGCGAACGCGATTTCTTGCAGAAATCCAAGTTCAAGGCTCATGCTGACAGCAAGGTTTATGTGAAACCCACCACTATCTCACCTGGTGAAACCGTACTAGTGAAGAGACCATTTACTGCGTCTAAAGGTGCAACTGTTTACGACCCTACCCCCTTGACTGTAGTGGATAAGAAAGGCAGCATGATCACAGCTCAAAACGAGAATCGCACAGTTACCAGAAATTTCTCTTTCTTTAAAACTCTGGACCAGTCAGTCATCAACCGTGGTGATGATCCGTCCCATGACAATGGTCTCAGCTCTCCAGCTGACATCAAGCACCAACAAGAGCTGCCTGCTGCACGTACTGCCTGCTGCTCATGCTTCTGACCCATCTGCATCAAAACCTGTGAGCTCCCCTGGCGTGCAAGCTAATCCTACAAGTTCATTTAGCCCTATCCCAGAGGGCCAAGCTGGTGCATCTCATCCGGTTGGTCAACCACCATTGCGTAGATCTTCCAGGAAACGAGTTCCCCGCCAGATTCTTGATTTGTAAGCCTAGATTCTTATTGAACTGTGAACTCTGAACTGTGGCAGTATAGTTTGTTAAGTTAAAATGCTGTCGCCTGTACAAAAACGTTTGTTTTCGTTGGACTTTGATTCCAGTCAGTAGTCATAGTTTCATGGACACTGATTAGTTGAAGTTTATTTTATTTCTTTCCATATCATTCTAGACAGTTACCCACTAGGGAAAAAGAGATGTAATGTTCATGTAAACCGGAAGTTATCGATACCGGATGTTCGCTAGGAACTATGGGATAGATGTAGCAGAACGACCATGGCGTCCACCGATGCTGTAACACGTCTTCTTACAACTGGTTATTAAATCGTTGTTAATCGTTTGCATCTTGTTTTGAAATCCATTCAAAACATCACAGTAGTGACTTACCTTCCTGTCTTGAAGAACTGATAGAATCTCTACGTGATGATAGCCCTGCTAATTTCAAACTCTGAGAAGTGCTCCACGGCAAGGTCCTGTGTATACTGAAATTGTTAAGATCTGATACATCTACTTGCCCCAGCGGTATCCCTGTCAAATTCATTAAAATGGTGGCTGAATCCATTGCTGACCCCCTCACAACTATTATCAACAACTGTGTCAGGAAGTACAATTTTCCTGAGGCATGAAAAAGTTCAAGGATCAGTCCAATTCCTAAAGTTGATCAACTGAAGTCTGAGGAACACTTTCATCCCGTTTCAATTATCTCCACACCATCAAAACTCTTTGAGAAACTTGTTGTGCTTCAGATGACCATTTTGTAAAATATAACTTATAACTAAGTTATCAATGCTTGGTTTCTCTGAGCCATATCTGCGCTGGTTGAATAGCTACTTGAGTGACCAGTCATTTTGTACAGATCAATGATTGTATATCTGAATCAGTGAAAGTACGGTTTGGCATGCCACAAGGGTCGATCCTTGGCCCAATGTTATTTAACTGCTATGTTTCCGATCTGCAAGATCATCTCCCTTTCTCAATTGGTTCATTTCAATACGCTGCTGATACTACAATATACTCCAGCTGTCCAGCTCCTGAGCTACAAAGATGTGCACAAGAACTAAACTCCACACTAAACACTGTAAGATCCTGATCCAATGACTCCCATCTTGCACTTACCGTAGTTATTTGGTTATAAGGCGCACTCGGTTATAAGACGCACCCCAAACTTAGCAATTTAATTGAGTTGAGTTCTCAAACTGAAAATTACGTGAAAATACTCGGTTATAAGACGCACCGAAAAGTTGAGAGTTAACAAAAGGATGTGATGAATCTGACAACAATTATCCTTACACAATTGGCATGCGAACTGAATATCAACACGCCACCAAGGATGCAGATTTCAGTACACAAGAAAGGCTGGATGGACGAAGAAGGTATGTTTTTTCCTCCACAATGCTTATTTCAGAGAAGACACTTTTCGAGTGAGCGACACGATTATCGGAATTCAAAACGAGGTTCGAACGATTGTATTGTTGTCAAGGATATCATGTTACTGAGCACGTGCTGTTAAGCACGTATGTAGCACGTATGCAAATTCCGTTTGTTTGCTTTTCTCCTGAAGTTGTTTAGTGTTCTAAAGGTCTCTAAAGGCAGTATTCTTTTTTAATTCACAGGAATAAAGGAGTGGATTAGGCGCAATCTTCGCTACACCGCAGACCGAAAAGCTCTACTCGTCTGGGATTTGTTTCGTGGTCACTTAACAGAGGCCGTAAAAGATCTTCTGGCCAGGCGAAATGTTGACGTCGCTGTTATACCTGGCGGACTTACACCCGTGTTGCAGCCCCTTGACAAATGCATTAACAAGCCGTTTAAGAACAAGGTACGCTCCCAGTATCAGGCTTGGATGGTACTTACAGGAGGAACTTACACTCCGTCGGGGAAAAAGCGAGCGCCGAGTAAGGAACTAGTTTTGCAGTGGATCCACAAAGCTTGGCAAGAGATACCCGCCGATTTAGTCGCCAACTCCTTCAAGTCCTGTGGAATTTCGAACGCTCTGGACGGCACCGAGGATGAAGCTGTGTGGGAAGAGGAAGGGGCTGGAACTGATGAAGCAGACGACGAGTTAGAAAACGAGTTCGACACGGACAGCGAGCAGGAAGACTAGGCGACAAGACAAACAACACAACAACCACCTCAACGGCTCTTTTCAGAGCCACCCCGGTTCTTTGCAGAACCACCAATAAAAGTCAATGACCAACAACTAGTGTCCTGTTCTGGTGTTTTTTAAACTGTTAGTTCTTCTCAAATTGTGATCTTAAGATTTTGTTGTGCGAAAATACTTGGCTATAAGACGCACCCCAATTTTAGAACTAATTTGCCCCCTAAAGACAGATTTTTCTTGAAAAAACCGTGCGCCTTAGGGCCAAGTCGCACTAGAGGACAAAACTGTTTATTTATGTCAAAAATCTGTCATCACAATGAAAAACCAAGTGCGACCGGTTTGTTCACCAAAGGACAAAATTTGGTCGCGGGCGGACAAACTTCAAAGATGCCGTCAACTACCTCTGGAGCAGGCCAAATTGAGACAAATTTTGGAAAACATTAGCGAGGGTGTTTTAATTCGGAAATGATTTGACAGGTGATATGTAGCAGAGTCTCTATGCTATAGACTTCGCGGCAAAATTGGTCACGTTCTCATTTCGCAACAACATGAATCCAGGCACGGGCAACCAATACTTTCCGTATGAAATGGGGCAGCAATATCCACCAGGATGGATATATCCGTTGCCTAGCACTTACAATTTTAATGATCGAGGAACTGCAAGCCCATCTTTAACCGCAAGTTCTGGCTCGTTGTCAGAATCCTTTCCGTTCGTCGAAGACGGCTCAATGCCGGAATCATCCCAAACTTCTTCGCGCCGTACATCTTCCGAGAACAAGAAGGCCCAGGAACGATGGACTAAAGATGAGGAAAAACTGTTAGTCCAACTATGGGCTGAAAAACACGATCAGTTGGAAAGCAGAGAGTGCAGGAAAACGTGGGCCTGGATCGCTGAGAAGATTTCGAAAGCGCTACAGTCCAACAAGACGGCCGACAAATGTATTCGGAAAATGAAGTACATCATAGAAAGATACAAGAATACAAAAGATTGGAACAAAAACCAAACAGGAGGAAACCTTAGGAAATCCGTCTACTACGATGAGGTCGATAAGATCCTTGGATGCCGCGACCTAGTAACCTTCAATAATGTAGCCGAAGCGGGGATCAGCGGCGAAAGTGCCCCCCAAGTTGTAGCTGAATCAAGTGATACTACTGGCGAGAACAGTACTTCATCTAGCCCCAATGTGCTACAAACTCCAGCTGAAAAGAGAAGAGCGTCAAAGAAAGGGAAACGAGCTTCGAAACGCAAAGCTCCTGATAATGACAGCGACGAAGAGTTCAAGATGGCTCTAAAGGATATGAGGCAGCAGGGGGAGAAAGTTACAGCATTTATGGATTCTTTGCAACAATCACAGACGCAGCAGCTAGCCATGATGAACCAATTTATGGGCTCCATTGTGAAAATCCTTGGCCAACAGAATGAGAAAGACAACTGAACTTTAATTCAAGACTGTTTTGGACTATTGGGAGACAATCATTATCGACCATTATCAAAAGACATGTTATTGTTTATGTTGCGAATCGATCAAACGAAATTATGGAAACAAATGAATGTACTGCTTGAACTGATTTCTTGTTGTAAATGCAAAAATTATCTTTATCACACACTTCTCTTTAAAAATCTGAACAATAAATGTCTGTAAAATTGCAGGAAAATTCAATACGGTGATGGAAATCGTTTCTTATGATTCAACAATCGCATGTTGAGCACAAATTACAATGCAATATTTTTATAGTATTTTCTCGTTGATTTTCTTCTATTTTCTTTGCGAAATATCAAATACAGTACAAGTTTAAGTTCGAAGGATTAAATAATTAAAAAAAGGGATTTGAAGAATCATAGACTGTTTTTTAGCAACTCTCTTATATCTTCCCCGTCCTGCATTAAGTCATTGTTCTTTTCGTTTCGCGGTCATCATCGTCATCGTAAAAATCATCCTCCCATTCGTCCCCAATTTTAATGCAAAAGTTATGCAGCACTGCACAAGCAATGGCAATCTTCACAGAAAAAGTTATTCTGCTATCCAACCGCTTTTGTAGAATTCGCCAACGACTTTTAAGGCAGCCAAAAGCGCACTCGATGGTTACTCGTGCAGACGACAGTTCCTTGTTAAATGTTATCTCGCCAGGGTCACGCGTCTCTTCAGGATAAGGCTTCATAAGCCAGGGGGAAATGGGGTATGCGCTGTCTCCTACCAGGTAAGGCTGAATATCTGTGATGCCGATTCTTTCAACGGGTTCCTTGAGTATATCTCCGTTGCTTGCTCTTAGATAAAGCGAGCTGTTTCGATATACCCTAGCGTCGTGGATACTTCCCGGATAACCCGCTGCAAAGTCAAGAAATAATCCCTTACCGTCAGCAACGGCCTGAATAATGAAATCATGTTGCTGATTTCGACTAAAATAATCAACAGCACTGTCTCTAGGAGCAACTATTTTGATATGAGTGCCATCTATGGCCCCAACAATGTTTGGAAGTCGTGATTTGTCCGTTAATGTCTCTATAAACCTCATTGTCTCAGCCACTGTTGTTGGGAATTTGATGTACTCATTCCTTAAGTCATAAAGAGCCTCAACCACGTCTTGACAAGCCTCTATTGCTGTAGTTCTGCCGACGTTTAGCGCAGGTCCTATTGTTTCGTATGAATTTCCGTGTGCAAGGCGAAGCAAACCACAAGCAAGGACCTTTTCAGGAGTGAGGCAATTTCGCAGAACTGTATTCTGTCTCGTCAGCCAGTTACGAATTACGTTGAGCAACAAATCAAAGCTTTCTCTGTTCATTCGTAAGAGCCTTCGAAAGTAGTCCCCAGGTATTGTTCGATCAGTATAATGGATCTCGAACCACGATTCGACTGGACGAGGAAGAGTCCAATAGTATGGTGCTCGTCTTCGATAACGATTTCGTTGTCGGCGAATACATCGTGTCACTAGAATGTTTTGTGCACGTAAATTCTGCATTAATAACAGACAACATATCATTAAATTGATATTGATATTTGCTTGCTGATGAAGAACCAGAAAATAGAAGAAAAATATTATTGCTAGAATTCTTCGTGGAAACATTTTGAGATCCCTCGTGTCGCGGTTTGTGGATTGAAAGTGGGTAAAGGCTGCTTCGCGGGAAATTGCGTGACGCTCACAGCATGGTGTGATGTTTTGTTCACAGATTTTGTTCTCAAGTGCGACTGTAGCTTTCCGGACAAATTTTTTGTCACTGGCCGATTTCAAGTCAGATTTGTCCTGGACAAATCTGAAATTGTCCTCTAGTGCGACTTGGCCCTTATAACCGAATAACTACGGTAACTTGAAAAAGAGAAAGATGATGTTTCTGTCCACTAGCCTCTAAAATAACATTTGTAAATAGTTTGTAAATTGCATATAGGGTTGTATTTCTATTACCAATCTCTGTTACATTTTTATACAATATCCTTTTATAGTCCAATATTATTGGTTTTTATATTGTAGATTTCACACTTTTTTATATTGCAGTTTTCCATTTTTATATGGTAGTTCTTAATAGGTAAAGAGCCATTAGGTGGATAAACTGTTAATAAACCATTATTATTATAATTTGTGTGTGTGTGTGTGTGTGTGTGTGCACTATTGTAAGCTTCTTAGGATGGAGTTCTTGTTGTTATGAATGGTGTCCTTAGGAATGGGCTGCAGGCATACCCACTGTCCCTAAGAAGAAAACCATCATCGAGAGAGCGATGGTTGTTTTGCAATTAACTGCAAATGTTACTGGTCCAGAATACGTGGCTATCATGAGTACTTCCTGGCCAGCAGGAAAGAACATTGGTAAATATGCCTTCAAATTAAACAATATTTTTGTAAAGGTTAGAGCTTGGTCCTCCTTGAATGTTTTGGTTTGTGTATGAATTTTATCTCAAATGTCTACAATTTTTTTTTCTTTAGGAAGTCTTGCTACTCAAATTTGAAAGTGCCTGACAAGTCTTGTCCAGGAATGACACAGGAGAGAGAGTTACGTGTGCCCCGCAGCAGTCGGGAAGACTTAGCTGGCCCCCCAAGAGCTTTAGCTGATTATGTACTGTCTTAACAAGGTATGAAACTGTGTAACAAATAATTATCAATCAATAATCATGTACAAGGGGATTAAAAATCCTTTACACGACACCAGACAGTCAGCCAACTACACCAAAGCATTCTGTGTCTATAGGAAACTATTTAGAGTCCATCGAAAAATTATCAACTTAAATCTACTTCAAATCCCATTTCTGGTCAATATCCCCAGAAATGTTAGAGACTGATTTTACGCACACCTTTATTTTCCTAAACATTTTTACACCTACATGCAATCACCTAGAACTTGTGAAAAATTAATTGGACCTCTGTGTGTAGGATAAGGGATTGCATTTGTGAAACCTCAGAGAGATGTAAGGAAAAAAGGACAAGTACAAAAAAAGTTAGCAATCTTTAAAAAAATTTCTCAACTTAGCACAATTAGCAAAGTTACGAGGATCACCATGTGGTACCCTTGGAAAATGTTGAAATATTCTACCACATGATCAACCCTTCATCTTCTTTAGGCCAACACCTACCTCAGCAGAGTTAACAATTTCAGTAGCAGAAATGAAAGCATTGTAATCTGGATAGGTGCACCTGACCAGGAGAGTCCAAATTGTGTTTGGATCCCAAACATATGCAAGTTCTGCAAACCTTGTTCCATCCCCAGTTTCATGCTTCACTGGCCCCCCAACCATCTTTCAACTCATCAGCAAGCAAGTGGTCACATTGCTACTAATGGCCAGTCATTTTCTGGCTCATTTCTGGAGAGGAGCTCCAGTTCTTTTACTTCATCTGATAGGCCCAAGAAGTAGTATGAGATTGTTCCTGAATTACCACAATAGGGTCAAGGTTCATCTCTTGATTGCATCAACCCATAGTGACTTAAACGGTCATTACCAAAACAAATCCGGTAATGTTTTGGTTCAGAAAAATCCAGTTCTTTCAGTAAAGTTTGTACATCACACCACTTTTTGGCTAGTGAGCAACAGCATCCTTATTTCCTGTTTCCATAATAGATATTATTTGTCAAAACTGTAATGTTCATGATAGGTCAGTGGTTATTTCGTTCAGTGATCCGGGCATTTGTTTTTCTTTAAGAGATATATAACAAGATCACATGTGGTAACCAAGTTTTGTGTTTACCGAAATCAAAGCTGTTTTGTGGAGTAGTTCTTGCCTGTTTTCTGCTGTGGACATTATAATAACTTAAAGTCTTTTGATGTAAAATGAAGTTATAAAGTTCCAGTGTAGAGCATTCATGATATCATCACAATGGATATTATGGGGTAGATTGTAAATAATTCTGTTTGCTAGTAAATGAACTCGATCAATATCATCTATTAATAATGAAAAACAAAACCCCTAAATTACAATGAGGTACAAAACACTAGGGATAATTGTTTTGTAATAAACAGTTTCAAAGATTGGTTTCCGTAAAAATTTTATCTGTTTTAAAACTGCCACTTTCTTGCTGAACGACTTAAAAATATTCACAATGTGCTCTTGGCATGCCCATGAAAGCTTGTTGTCGATTGTTTACCCAAGACATTTAGATGATAGTTTTTACTCAATGGTACCATTACTGTATTTCCAGTGTGGTGAGGGGTCAATAAAGTTCTGATTCAATTATCAAAGTCCTCAGTGCTTCAGACTTCAATTTGTGGGCTATTAATCTGTCAGACTGACACCAATGTTCACAAGCCTCTCCCATCACCTATTGTGCAAGACACTGCCCGAAAAGTAAACAAACTGGTTAATAAACTACACTGCTTGGGACACATCAACCAAAAGACTCACAATTAGCCTTAAACAACCACGTATACCAGAATTTTACATGCTGACTAAAATCCATAAGAAAACACCCGTTGGCACACCAATTGTCTCTGGGAGTAGTGGTCCAACAGAACATATCTCTAGTTTTGTAGACTCAACCTATTGCCATAAAATAAGAGTCCTATATAAAAACACTATGGACTTTCTCAATTTTATCGAAAACACGCAAATTCCAGATGATGTGGTCCTAACCACACTTGATGTTAGTCTTTCTACACCAACAGTCATCAAGAAGAAGGAATTGATATTGTTTGCCACTATTACAAAGATCACTATGACCAGAAATTACCTTTCCCTACAAGTGATTTATGGGAACTAATGTAGGTTAATGCTTAAAGAAAATTCTCTCAATTTGAATGAAAAACACTTCATACAAACTCACGGCAACGCTATGGGAACTAAAATGGCAGTCACTTTTTCTGTTATTTTCTTGGCAGACCTAGAGAAATGACTGGTATTAGCTAGTCCACTTAGACCATTCATCTGCAAGAGGTGGAACATTCCAATAGAGGAAATTTTTATTTTTGTAGACTTCGCCAACTCATTCCACCCCACAATCAAGTTTACTTCTGAAATG